ACACGGTTAAGTTTGTGGGGTTTTCTGTTTTATTGTGTCCTAGTGTTGCTTCAGTGTATATTGTTGTGCAGTTATGCGCAGTGTACCTAGTGGCACTCCTAATATCAGTGTTCTTCGTGTAGGCATACGGTTCCTTTGGCAAACTTAAAACCAGTGACACAAGTGGCGCCTGTCCTTGCTTGGAATATGGTTCCCAGCCGAAAAGGAGGAACCTATCAGAAAATAACAGGTGGATACTTCTCAGGAATAGGTTTGTACGAGGTTTCCACAAGCATTCCTTCCCTTGGGGCAGAGGGGAGTGGGAGAGACACTCACGGCAGTTTTAACAGTAGCAGTCTTTGGATGTTGGAAGTGACTTAATTCAGCCTGTGATATAAAACTTGGTCACCGCAGGGGTTTGATGTAAAGTGATCCTTCAGACAGAGGAATGAATTTGCCTTTGCAAAAGAGCAAATCCATTGAAAATACATAGCAAAGTTAGTATTGCTCAAAATTACCAAGAATATTATTGGCAATTGAACTATGTGTAAAGACTGGGTCTCTGAACCAAAAGGCCTGTCTGATTTGGCCTTAGCAGAGGTGCGTGGACAGACTAGGGCTTGCCCAGCTAATTAAATATGAATTGTATTTGTTTAATTTGGAGAATATATTTTTTGATAAATAAATGCAGCCTTCATAAAGAGATTTTGACACTGAGAGTACTGGTTTGATCAGCTGAAGTTGGGAAGGTATTCACACATGAGATGATTGTATTCTGCTCATAATTTAGAATGCCCACTTCAGTCTTCAAAATACAGGTATGAAGCTTGCATATTTAAAATGCACTTTTTCTGGGATAGGCTGTTGGCTGCTGCTTTTCTGTGTGTCCAAGCATTGACGCTTCTGAAAGGATAAAGAGAACATAGCTCTGGAGTCAGCTGTTTAAGGTGTAAATCTGTCTTTTCTGTCCTCAACTGAAACTGCAGAAATGGATATGAAAACACGGAAGCGAATGCTTAAGAAAGTTCGTGGAAAGGAAGTCTTTATGACTGTGGCTTATAGCAGGGGTCAGCCAGTTCTTCCACCTCGACTACAGCACAGTGTTCCTCTGGGACGCTCTCCTCCAATTCACTGCTCACAGGGTGGTGGAAACATGGCACCTTACGAACACTATCATCCTCAAAATCCTTCTCAGAGACATAACCGTGGATTTGGGATGCCAAGGTACGAAGGCTTGAAAACTTGTCTGAGATAACCGCTTGGTTTCTGTTCATTCTTGCTGCAGATTAGTTAGGAGAGAGTTTGCTATGTAATAGGTAAAACTACAAATGAGTTCCATCTGAGAAGCACTTCCTGGTAATTGC